AGCATGATAATATTGAAAAAAAACAATTTCATTATCATCATCAATTTCCACTTCTGCTGTAGGTGTTGTGGGGGGGGGGGGGGGGGGGGGTGGATAGTTCGCGATCATTGCTTTATTATAGAGCCTAGATATTCAAAGTTTGTGTACAAGTAATACACAGCATGATAATATTGAAAAACAATTTCATTATCATCATCAATTTCCACTTCTGCTGTAGGTGTTGTGGGGGGGGGGGGGGGGTGGATAGTTCGCGATCATTGCTTGATGGGCAGCAAGGACTACTGCCATTCCATTTTCATGTAGAAGCTCTTTAATGTCATCAGTCCATATCTCCTAGGGCAGACTCTTGCTTTCACTTCAGATCATTTAATGTGTGGCGCCTGCACTGGTAATTGTTCTGGCTGCATTAGAACCATTAGATTTTCTGTTTCTCAGTGAATTTGCTGCCTGGTGTTGTTCCTACAGTCTGTCTGATAACATCATTTCTAACTTTGTCTCGGATGGTTAAGTTGGAAAAAATATTAAAAGACTGCAAATCAGAATATTTTGAAACTTTTATTATAACATCCTTAACCCATTCAATCTGCCAAAATCATATTTCTATATCAGCCAATCACAGGTGGAAAAAAGTAAAGTAAAAGAGGCATCAGACGTTTTTAATACACAAGCCGGTACTCAATGGGTGATATGGTCAACATTAAGCTGTCCACCTTTACTTCCCAGGACTTTACCCATTTCAAGCTGGATCAACCTGAGTCAATGTCATTTAATTGTCTGACTCTATGGGCACTGGAACTGATGACCAGGCCAGCATTTGAGACTCTAGCAACTTCCTCACTGTAGCTCAACCCACAAGTGTACAGGTGAGACTCTAGCAACTACCTCACTGTAGCTCAACCCACAAGTGTACAGGTGAGACTCTAGCAACTTCCTCCCTGTAGCTCAACCCACAAGTGTACAGGTGAGACTCTAGCAACTTCCTCACTGTAGCTCAACCCACAAGTGTACAGGTGAGACTCTAGCAACTACCTCACTGTAGCTCAACTCACAAGTGTACAGGTGAGACTAGCAACTACCTCACTGTAGCTCAACCCACAAGTGTACAGGTGAGACTAGCAACTACCTCACTGTAGCTCAACCCACAAGTGTATAGGTGAGACTAGCAACTACCTCACTGTAGCTCAACCCACAAGTGTACAGATGAGACTAGCAACTACCTCACTGTAGCTCAACCCACAAGTGTACAGGTGAGACTCTAGCAACTACCTCACTGTAGCTCAACCCACAAGTGTACAGGTGAGACTCTAGCAACTACCTAGCTGCAGCTCAACCCACAAGTGTACAGGTGTTTTGGAAAAGTTTGGTAAGAAAGAAATTTAAAAACAAAAAATACAAAGAAAGAAATAAGTAAGAAATTAAACATGTAGTCATTATCAAATCCAAGACTTTTTTTTCGGTGGTACAAAGCACCACTTATTTTATTCAGACAATAAAATGGGTGGTGCTTTAGACAACACATTTTTAGGGTTACTGTATTAGGTAGTTTATAGTGAATACCGGCACCTATTTTGAGGGGAGTAAAAGCATCTTTATTAAACCCTTTGCAGTGAGTACCAACCTTTTTTTTCTAAAAAAATTTTTTATTAGGAAAACAACCTAACCTGATCTATTAAATCTCGTGCCTGCCAAGAAGGTGGTGGGAGTTTAATTCTCAAAAGGGGCAGGAGAGTTTTTCCTTATCGATGAACCCAACCTAGTGAAATAACCACCATATAATTTCCAGAACTGTCTGGAGCATATCAGGAAAAGAAAGATGACGAGGAAGGGAAAGTGTCCTCAACGTCTCACAGGAGGTCCCAGAATGTATGGGAATGTCTTTTTTTTTTTGGCCCTTGTATTACAGTTTACAGCTAGGCTATGATATCTGTCCCTTTCAGCCCAACACATCTGATGTCAGCAAACCCTTAACTAGTCATCGTCAAGGACATGCTTGACAGGGGGCAGTCGATCTAATCTGTCCAATATCAATGGCACCAGTAACTGTCTGATTGTATTTCCGTCTCGCCAATCCTTTGAGTGTTAAGCATCGACCAGATCTGCGTGTGACTCCCCGCAGCGCCATTCTTCTCAGACTGTACTGATCTACAGAAAATACCCCATCAAAACGGCGCTCTGGGGCCGACACAGGAATGTTTCTGTTAGAGTTCGACATTCTAAAAAAAAAAAAAAATTTTTTAAATACATTTCATAAAATAATATGCTAGCCAGCGTGGCTGCAAAAGCAAACATAAGTAGCAGAAAAATGTCTTACTGTTGATAATCCAGAACACCGGGCCACAAGGCCATGATTCTTGCAAATGTTTATCAGTCAAACTACATAGACTTTCATATCAGTAATGTTATCAAAAGAACTGAAAATTATTACAGATCTAGGTAGCATTTGATAAACAGCATGATAATATGAATAACAGTGAGAATAAATATAAAGTGTCAACAATATCATAACCATCCTGACATGCCGTTAAATGTGACACAGGGTTTGTAGCCCCTTCCTCCAATCCGTTCAATATAATGGATGGAATCCACTCCAGCACTTTTGGCCACTCACACTTAACTTTCATCTCAGAGTTTCTCTTGGACATACTCGTTTCCTCTTACCCCCAAGAATGGATACATGTCTATACTGATGGATCAGCATTTAAAGCTACCATTAAAGCAGGTTACGGAATCTACATAGGTTATCCCGATGGATCTGTTGAAGAGATTTTTTATGCATGCGGGGAATTCTGTACAAACTATGAAGCTGAAATAATTGCACTGGAAACAGCAGTATACCACCTAAAGACTGTAATGGATGTTTACCCTTCAAAGGTCCAAAATATTGTCATCTTCACAGATTCAATGTCTGCCCTTAAAGCTCTGGAGATGTTATGTCAGTGAACGCTGCAGAACTGACATAGCCAAGATAATCCTGGATGCTGATCAGCTTATTACCTCATACAACATCAGAAAAGTGATGCAGTGGATTCCAGGTCACTCCGGCACACCAGGTAATGACAGAGCTGACAGATTGGCAAAGAAAGGAGCAACACAAGAACAACCACCTACAGCAACAACCCTCCAGACAACAAAAACACTAATAAGAGCTATAAACAAAGAGACTTGGTTGAACAGATGGGCCATGGGAGACACTGGAAGATAGGTTTATAAACATATGTCTGGCCCTGATCCTAATGACAGCATTAACCATCTAACAAGAAGGGACCAGGCCACCATCTTCAGACTTAGAACGCAACATACTCCACTCAATGGACACCTAAACAGAATACAGCCACAACACTCCCCAGAGTGCCAGCTATGTAACTACCCCTAAGAAACTGTTGAACACCATCTCTTTGAGTGCCCAAAACTCAGTGAGACAAGAAGAACGCTACTCCCTCCGAGACCAGACAAGTGGAACACCTTGTACGGAGGAAAAGAACAGCTTGTGAAAACATGCAAATTCCACTACATGGCATTGGGCCAAAGGGCGAAAGCTCATGCGCCGCTGGATCGATAACAACAATAACAACAACTCGTTTCCTCAATCCATCTGTGTCATATTTCAGTGCCTGCTTGGCAATTCTCTGTCCGCTTCTCCTCATGATGTATCCACTATATTGCAACAGCAACAACTGAAGTTGCAAGCTCATCTGGCACAAAAGATATTCCACCTCCCTGTGTTCTTCCAAGGTTAAATTTCAGCCCCCCCCCTTTCACCAAGAGCATATCATAAAAGTCGACTAGTTATGGTGTTTCCTTTTTCCTTCGAAGTTGGAGTGCATCTGCCGGAGAGGGGAGGAACCAACAACCTGTCTGCAAATAAGCCAGAGTATGTTTTAGGTTTTACTGCCATTGAGAGAGATTGTTTCTCTACTTTCATAAGAAGGGTTGTCTGTTGTACTGTGATGAAAACCTGAATGTGATACTGTAAGAGAGAAAGCGTTAGTCCTTGCACTGTCATGACGTCTGTTGCTTTAGTCATGGAAAGGCTTTACTGTACTTTCAGAGTTTACTGCTGTACTGCCAGAGAGTTTACTGTTGTGCTGCCAGAGAGTTTACTGTTGTACAGTGAGAGAATTATGAGTTCAGATTTGGGTTAACTCCGTGGCACTCCGGACACGTCCATAGGTGCTCAGATTCCCCCTTCAACATAAACATCAGCATACCGCGGTTGAAAATCCTAGTTCTATGTTTGTGGACAAGACTTCTCGTGCATACGGTGTGCTTCTCATGCCTGGCTGTGCCGACCTTTACTCCCAATTCTTGTGCTCTCAGCAAAGATGTGAGTGTGCTACTCCTAAAATCCTCCGATTGTCCTACCTCTCTAATGGCATTAAAAATGTCTGCATGATCCATGGGCTGGCCCTCTGTAACTAAGGCAGTGCTGGCATACCCTGAGACAAAGATGAAAGTAACTCTACGTACCGTGGAGTTTTGCAATGACTCAACCACTGTCAGCATTCAAAGAGAGAGAGTTAGCCCTTGTGCTATCATGGAGAGAGCTTACTGTTGTACTGTCAAACAGACTGCCACAACGTTATATCTTTTGGTCTCAAACAATGCATGCTAAGTTACTGACTATTCCACAAATTTCAAACACTACATCATGTGTCTTCTTATATTTAAGTTTTGGTCGGCGTATGCTAACTAAATCTGGCAACCACAGGGTATCTTTTAATCATTTTTCATTCCTATAACACAGGAAGTGGTTACAGTTGTTCACGCAAAATGCAAGGAAAAAAATAATGATATTTTTTTACAAAACTTTATGGGACCGAATGAATTAAAGTGAAAGTTAGCCCCTCTACTACAAAGGAAGCTTACTCTTGTAAGTTAACATTTTCCTTAGCCTTCAAAAGCACCAAGCAAAACTCAAACACCACAGAAATTAAACACACAATTATTCACTTTCAAGAATTTCAGAAAACAAACAAATAAATATGTTGCCAACCGCCACCTCATACCACTCGTCTCACTTCGAAAAATCGTTTGAGGTAGTAGACCTGGCCGAGAGACATGGCCACCAAAACCAAGGCCTCGAAGAACGACCATAAAACCACCCTGGAGTTGGTGTTGTCGTTAACTGCGGAGAAACAAAGATTTAAATCAAATCGAAGCAATGTTTATACACCGTGCTATATTGTACCTTGTCTAAGGTGATACATTTTCCCAAATGTTTTACATTTAATGAGGGGGGGGGGGGGGGGGGGGGGGGGGGGGGATACAGGGAATGTTGCAATCAAATATATAAATAAATACATGCCACTGTCTATATCCCTACCCCAAAGCCTCTCCCCAGCAACCACCATTCCAGACACCATCCCATATCCACCAGGTTCCCTCAGCCGCCGCCGGGCTATCCAAACACCCCTATTTCACAAGTGCACTCAGCCGCCGCCTGGCTATCCTAACACCCCTATTTCACAAGTGCACTCAGCCGCCGCCCAGCTATCCAAACACCCCTATTTCACAAGTGCACTCAGCCGCCGCCCGGCTATCCTAACACCCCTATTTCACAAGTGCACTCAGCCGCCGCCCGGCTATCCAAACACCCCTATTTCACAAGTGCACTCAGCCGCCGCCCGGCTATCCAAACACCCCTATTTCACAAGTGCACTCAGCCGCCGCCCCGCTATCCTAACACCCCTATTTCACAAGTGCACTCAGCCGCCGCCCGGCTATCCTAACACCCCTATTTCACAAGTGCACTCAGCCGCCGCCCGGCTATCCAAACACCCCTATTTCACAAGTGCACTCAGCCGCCGCCCGCTATCCTAACACCCCTATTTCACAAGTGCACTCAGCCGCCGCCCGGCTATCCTAACACCCCTATTTCACAAGTGCACTCAGCCGCCGCCCGGCTATCCAAACACCCCTATTTCACAAGTGCACTCAGCCGCCGCCCGGCTATCCAAACATCCCTATTTCACAAGTGCACTCACTCAGGCAGCTCTAGTAGCCACAGCTTTTTGTTTCATAGTTTTATGTGCATACTCAATAACTATTGTATTACTGTGGGACAGGACCCCCGCGAAAGGTTCCACTGCTTTCAATTTACCACTGTCGAAACCAAAGCAAGACAAATCATCCACAGCTGGAATCGGACCCGGCATCACAAAGCATGTTAACAACGATAAGGCCACAGATAACACATCATTAATTACTGGCTTCATGAGGGCTAACAGACTGCAACAGTTGAGGCGCATGGGAGAAAGCGCCAGACAACACAGACACACAAATTGTGTACACAAGAGAGTTGAACTGGAGTGGAGCACAAGGCAGACCAAGAAGACATTGAAGAGATCATCTACAGGTCCCCGTTTGAGTTCCGGGGTCCCATTGTGGAGGAAAGCAAGAATACACCCAGGGCCTCCACAACAAGCATGTCATAAGACTGGACTAAAGACGGATTGCATCTGTTGGCTAAGAACCAACAGTCTGCATATAAATAAGCCAGATCTGAAAAACTGATCCACACACAAAAACTCAGGTCCTGGAACAAAGCCAAAGTCCAGAAATGGATGAACAACCAGGTCTTTCCACCGGGGTTTACAGCCAGGGAATACAAACAACAACATATTCAAAACATTGTATTCCTGTAATGAATTTAAATAATGTGGACACAAACAATAAATTGCACAATTTGTTGCCAGACATATTTCACTGTATCTCGTCCGTCAGGTGCGTTACTACAGAGTTACATCAACATAAAATTAAGCACAAAACTGAATAAATCCAACTGAAATGCAAATAGTTTCTTCCAACACATGGTGTGTGTTTTTTGGCCGCCGGAAGCTCACCATAGTCATATGACTTACCAGGGTAGCTTCAAATTTACATACGCAGTTCAATGATTCTTCTAGGGTGTAGAGACCAGTCAAGAGAAAAGAACCCACTTCTTCCATACGTCGTCATCTACTTAATTACAGACACAGACAGTGTTTTCCCTGTAGTTTACCACACTCTGAACAGGAGTGTTGAGAATGGCCAAAGCTTTAACAATTAAAATCAACAACCCCCTCCTTTGTAAGCAGAGAGAATTTATTGTAAATTTGAAGTTACCCTGGTAAGTCACGTGACTTCAGTTGGATTTATTAAGTTCTGTGCTTCATTTTATGTTGACGTAACTCTGTAGTAATGCACCTGATGAGATGGAGTGAAATATGCCTGGCAATAAATTGTGCAATATATTGTTTATGTCCACATTATTTAAACAACAACATAAGCTACTGGCATACCTACAAACACCTGGAGTCACCAAGTGGAAAGAGAAAGTCAATCAACAAATTGACGACAACAATGCACAACTCACTTGATCTGTGAATCCTTTCTCTCACTTCCATGTATTCCTGTTCGTGTTTGACCCCGGTCAAAGCCGTTGACAGTTCATTGATCATGTCCACAAGTTTGTTCTGGTTAGCTGAGCAAAATAAACGCATAAATTAATTAATATGTGTGTGTGTGTGGAAATCGCCGTTGTTCAGGGTTTGGATCAAAATGGAGCCGGACTATCTTGTAAAATGATCTTGGCTCCAAGGTGAACCCAGCCTTGAGTGGTTACCAGGTGCAGTCCTGGGAAGTAAAGGCAGCCAGCATGATGATCACCCACCAAATACTGATTTTTCTTCTTCTTCATTCCGAGCCCTTGAGGTTCGTTGCTGCAGATATCCCCCACCTCCATTCATCTCTCTGGTTGGCCTTCTTCAGCATTCTGAGCCCTTGAGGTTCACTGCTGCCTCCATTCATCTGTCTGGTTGGCCTTCTCTTTCCAGTTGGTGACACCAAGTGTTTGCACGTCTCTCTGGATATTATCTCTCCATCGTCTTCTTGGTCTGCCTAGTGGTCTACAACCATTCATCTTCCTTGTGTATAGTTTTTATTTCTCTGTCCTCTGACATTCTTTAAATGTGCCCCCCACCCTGATTTGATAATCAATAAAGCAAATATAAATAAAGACAAAGTATAACAAAATAATAAAGAAAATATCTAGTTATAAAACTGATTAAGAAGATATGTAATTATAGCAACAGATAAAGAGGAAACACAAGAACATATACAATTACAGCAACTGATAAAAATGACATACAAATATAAAGAGCAATAATAAAGATACTGTATTTGATAATAAAAAATAATAAAGACCATTTAATAAATACCTTACCATCACCTTCCTCTCCAGTTGTATCTTTTGGCTTTTCCCCAACATCGATGGAGAAAACAACAATTTTTGGCGTCATTGTCGACATGGCATTGCTGAAGCAGTATTTATAGTTGCCGTCCATGTGAGCGGCAAAAATGTACTTGCCGTTGGATTCCCGATCTCCAGAGTGTATGATCTTGCCATCTGGTCCAAAAATCTGAAACATATTTTACTGTTTCTTAACAACACTTGTTCTCAATTCACTTTAACATGAAGACAGCTTCCATTAAAATAAATTAATACGTATCAATGTTTAGTTTAGCTATCTTCTCCTTCTTTACCGCTTCAGGTGTCATGGGAGATATAAGGTCCTGCTACGTGCTCTTCTGGCTGCTTCGACCATAGACATATTGTGGGGCTATAGAGTTTCTCTGATGTTATCTTCTTATCTTGTTCTTGTTCTACCTCTTGCTCTGCGTCCCTCTCCTCTTTTGGTATATGCCTTGTACAGTAAAGCAACAGAAGGCATTCTCTCCAAGTGGGCAAACCATTTGATTTGCTTTCTTTGTATTAAACTGTAGCAACATTAAAGTTAGTTGCATATCCATTTATGGGATGTTGCAGAACCAACATTGTTTTTTTTGTGTGGGCTGTTGTGGTTTTTCTAGGCAAATTTTACATTCAGTAATTTGTCACTGCCATCTGAAAAGTCAGCTCTCTGTACCACTGATCAAAACCAACACAAGGCAAACCGTCTCCAGCTTGGATTGAACCCGGCAACCAGGCATTATGAAGGGTGTTCACAATGCCTTGGCCACACAGCAGCTACATAGAGAAGTCTAAATCACTCACTGGAAGATAATAGGATTGGTGCTGAATAGACAGAAACACCAGAAAAAAAACAAATAAAGGGGGCATGTGAGGTAATAATCACCCCAAGAAGGTATTGCAGAGAATGAAATCAAACAGTCGGTGATGCTGAAATAACGGCCCTCATCCACAAGCACACTCGACCATGTGGTATCATATATACAGAAAGTTCAGTGATTTGTGCAGTGCTGTCTGGGTGGGCATAAACAGCACAGGTGAAAAGAAGGTCAGTAAAGGAAGAATGTCAGGTATTCATCAAAGCATCCGGCGTAATGATGACCAAATTACCCACTGAGTGCCAATTGGTCTGTAAAAATATAGGTGCTTTTCCAATATGACTGATGCACCTAAGGCATGAAAAGGTATCTTTACTAAGGGAGTCGCAGTGGTGTTGGCGGCTAGACGCCCGCCTGTGAATCGTAAGGTCGTGGGTCCTCGTCCTGGCGAAGCCGGACTTTTTTCAAAAATGACCTTGACTCTCAGGTTGACCCAGCCTTGTGTGGGTACCAGGTGTGGTCCTGGGAAGTAAAGGTGGCCCAGTGTGATACCGACCTCATCAACCACCAAGTGCTTATTGGTCTATAAAAATACAGGTCTAGCCCTATATTACCAATGGCTCCCAGGTCCACCCAGCCTTGAGTGGGTACCGGTTGCAGTTCAGGGAAGTAAAGGCGGCTGGCGTCATGTTGACCACATCACCCTTCTTGTGCCGACTGGTCTATAAAAATATAGGCGTTTAAATGGGTCCTTTACTTACTATATTACCAATACAACTATGAGGTGTTGAAAAAGATCCTCTACTTAATATACTTCCAATAAGCCTATGAGGCGTGGAAAAAGGACCTTTTTTAACATCAGAGGATGGAGCACGAATGGATCAGACTGATGTGCTACGATGTCGATAGCAGCATAAGTTGGCATTGTTGGAGGATATATGGTCACCCTACAGCTTTATCTTGACTGAAGTTGGAACAGGTCGGATGGTTTCTCTGCTAGCAGCATAAGTTGGCATTGTTGGAGGATATATGGTCACCCTACAGCTTTATCTTGACTGAAGTTGGAACAGGTCGGATGGTTTCTCTGCTAGCAGCATAAGTTGGCATTGTTGGAGGATATATGGTCACCCTACAGCTTTATCTTGACTGAAGTTGGAACAGGTCGGATGGTTTCTCTGCTAGCAGCATAAGTTGGCATTGTTGGAGGATATATGGTCACCCTACAGCTTTATCTTGACTGAAGTTGGAAACAGGTCGGATGGTTTCTCTGCTAGCAGCATGAGTTGGCATTGTTGGAGGATATATGGTCACCCTACAGCTTTATCTTGACTGAAGTTGGAACAGGTCGGATGGTTTCTCTGCTAGCAGCATAAGTTGGCATTGTTGGAGGATATATGGTCACCCTACAGCTTTATCTTGACTGAAGTTGGAACAGGTCGGATGGTTTCTCTGCTAGCAGCATAAGTTGGCATTGTTGGAGGATATATGGTCACCCTACAGCTTTATCTTGACTGAAGTTGGAACAGGTCGGATGGTTTCTCTGCTAGCAGCATAAGTTGGCATTGTTGGAGGATATATGGTCACCCTACAGCTTTATCTTGACTGAAGTTGGAACAGGTCGGATGGTTTCTCTGCTAGCAGCATAAGTTGGCATTGTTGGAGGATATATGGTCACCCTACAGCTTTATCTTGACTGAAGTTGGAACAGGTCGGATGGTTTCTCTGCTAGCAGCATAAGTTGGCATTGTTGGAGGATATATGGTCACCCTACAGCTTTATCTTGACTGAAGTTGGAACAGGTCGGATGGTTTCTCTGCTAGCAGCATAAGTTGGCATTGTTGGAGGATATATGGTCACCCTACAGCTTTATCTTGACTGAAGTTGGAACAGGTCGGATGGTTTCTCTGCTAGCAGCATAAGTTGGCATTGTTGGAGGATATATGGTCACCCTACAGCTTTATCTTGACTGAAGTTGGAACAGGTCGGATGGTTTCTCTGCTAGCAGCATAAGTTGGCATTGTTGGAGGATATATGGTCACCCTACAGCTTTATCTTGACTGAAGTTGGAACAGGTCGGATGGTTTTCTCTGCTAGCAGCATAAGTTGGCATTGTTGGAGGATATATGGTCACCATTTTCATGTACTAAGCTGCAGGGGTTCATCTGCATGTTCATTACACCAACAATTTTGAACACCTCCGGAATAAAAACCAGACTTCGAAAAATGCCCCCAATTAGTCGACTCCTACGACATGCTTATTGGGGAGGCTGTGGGTTTATTCTTGTTCTTCCCGGCAACGGGACCCTAGAACCCACACAGGGAGGAAGTCCGCTAACTGGGAGCTTTCTTCGAAGTCTGAATGCTGTTGCCTGAGCGGCAAGGAACAATCAACTGCACCCAAATAAGCCAGTAAAACAGATGCGCACGCAAAAGTCCTGGCACAAATCATACTGCTGTTCGACCATCTCTTGATGTTATCCTCCCACTTGTAACGCTGTCTGCCTCTTGCTCGCCTACCTTGAACCTTTCCCTCTAGGATGATCTTTACAATACTGTTATGTCTTTTGATGTGACCAAAATATTTCACTTGTCTCTTTTTTATTTCAATCTTTGATACCAGCTAGTAAACCTTTACTTTCAAACAAATTTTGAAAGTGATCACTAAAAAAAACATCTCAAGCTGTTGTACGTATGGTGCAGCAGTAATCAGTAAAGCAAGTTTAGTAAGTTACTTAGCTCTTTGGGAACAAGCAACGGAATCAGTAGAGAAAGAATATTAATATTATGGCCTGGAGAGAATGAGGCAGCTGGGTGTAACCAGAGAGTCTGGCCGGCTCACTATACTCAGAGCAAGGCAAAACGGACATTTAACCAGACTGACCGATACCGGCTATCCTCCGAATAATGGCCACATATTATGGCAGCCAAAAACACACCCTGACAGGGCCTCAGTCACATGTAAATTGCGGACTTCTGGCGAATTAAATTGCGGACTTCCGGCGACTACCACCATCACCGAGAGTATCTAAACTAGATAGCTGGGACTTCTGCATCTCCTGCAGCTTTGCTCATAAGTCCCAGCCATCTAGTTTAGCCCCGGTCTGTGCCGCGCATAGCCAGGCGGAAAATACTCTTGGCAGTGGCAGTAGTCGCTGGAAGCCCGCAATTTAAGTCGCCAGAAGTCTGCATTGTACATGTGACTGGGGCCCTGTTTTTTGCCCCCATAATATGTGGCTGTTTTTCGGAGGATAGCTTATCAGTATTAGAACTCTGTGTCGGCTCCTGAAGATGAGGACACAGCACGCATGGGAATGCCAGAGTGCTGTGATGTCAATTATCGACATAACTAAGTCAACTAGAACGGCGTCCGTGGCTAAGGCGTTGTGAGTCCGACTCGTAATTCCAATGTACCGTGATCAAAACTTACTGGCTACTGCTGGCTGTGTTGATTTTTATCGTGGTATGGGATGTCACCACAGCCTAAAATGGGTATCAGGATGTATATCCTGGGGAAGTAAAGACGGCTGGCGTAATACTGACCACATTACCCACCTAGTGCCGAGTGGTCTGTAGAAGTATAGGTGCTCTTCCCATATGCCCGATGCGCCTAAAGGCGTAAAAAGGGATCTTTACTTTACTTTTTAAGTCAACTAGTAGGGTAATATTAACGATGTTCAACACTGCAGAAAATGTACACTACTACTAGGGATCGTAACGAATAATGAATTATTGTGATGCTTACGGAGAAGCATCTGTAATTATATGGATTATGTAAATATGCTTTATATTTCATTCTTCCTTTATTAATTTACATTGTCACTTACTTTAACATCGATGTCTAAAAAACCGCCCTCCGCGACTTCAAACATAAGGCTCATTTTGGTGCCAGAAGTCGCCTTCTCGAAGAAGCATTCTTCAGCGTGTGCATCAATGTTGATAAAATATCCTTCTGACAATCTCAGCAATGCCAGCAGGAGAACCACCGGCGGAAAATTAGAAAGATTCATCTTGTAAAAAGTAAATCTACAACTTGTAACAACAAGTCAACGGACCTTAAATGCCACGTACCCGCTTTTTACATAGTGCGCCTGCGTTTGTTTGGGTTCTGTAACTTCCGCTTCCGTTTAGTGACTGCTCAAGATCTGCTCAGTGCTGCCACTTTTCTTTGCAAAAAACATCCAAAACAGAGTCAAAAATATCTAAAAACATCTATATTTGTGTGGAAAGCATCGGGAAAAAACATCCAAATGGAACGTCACAAATTACATAGCAATTGATATGACTTACCCTATAGAATCATGTCCTCATCTTTATTGAAGTCTGCCTCACAAGATCCACAGGATAAACTTAGCTTGGATGATGAAGTTAAAGCTTCAGATCCAAAATGACCCTGGTATGCTTTAGCATATGTGCAATATATCCTTGTCATTGAGAGTTAAAAAAAGAATTCTTGCTTGCTACATACATCCAGTTTTAACATATGGCTGTGAATCCTGGACAATCGGTAGGCAGGCCAAACAATTTCTAGAGGCCTCAGAGATGTGGTTTTACAGAAGAATGCTCAGAATACCTTGGACAGCCAAAAAGAGCAACCAAGAGGTTTTGAAAGAGGTGGGAGCCCGAAGGCAACTTATCACAGACATCAGAGGGAGACAGTCATCATTTTTCGGCAATGTTATGAGAAGAGGGAAAATAGAACATGTTGTGACCACTGGAAAGATATATTGAAGGAGAGATAGAGGAAGACAACGAGAGAAGTTGCTTGACAGTCTTGTTGCATGGCATGGAGGTGTGTCGGCACACGAACTGATACATGCTGCAGAAGATCGCAGATTATGGAGAGGCATGATCACCCACGCCAGTCGGCAAGGCACATGATGATGATGATGCTTTAGCTGTTCCAATTTCTTTCAATGCCAAATCAGGGAACTGATTAGTGAAACAGCCTTTTCCCACTCTTATCAGACCGAATTTTATTGTCAAGACAGTATTTAAGAGGTTAAATTTCATCCTGTTTCTTAGGTTAGATTTGATAAATTCACTCCAAATGAAAAAACATCTACAATCTAAACGTTAAAAAAACGCCATCTAAATGCAAGGGAAAACATCTAATTCTGGATTTAAAACATCCAAAGTGGCAACATTGAATCTGCTACCGGGTCACCCATTGGTTCACCGATAGACAGCTTCGTCTCTGGTCGGGACTGTATTTGGGTTTGTCGGTTCTTTTATGTTATTTCACCACCTCTCAGAACCCTCGAGATTTTACTATGTTGTGCTCTGGGGATTTCCCTACCAAATCTTGAGGGCCCTGAGATGTGGGGAAAAAAAACCCAGAATAATCGGTCTGGCTCAAGCATCAACTTTTCATGAGGCCTTTATATGGCTCCTGGTAGAGTGCATTGCTAAGCTAATTTATATGGCGCACATAACCCAGTCACAATTATAACCTAAAGGGATGCATTCTTTTTCTGTAATACCATATTCACTATGATTTGATTGATTTGATTTGATTCAAGAACCGACCTCACAGCATTCAGGGCATTCCTATAAGCGCTCTGTCCCCATCTTCAGCAGCTGGCGCAGAGTTCCGATACTAATGGTGCCAGAGGCACTCTGATTAAACGTTTGTTTTGCCTTTCCTCTGAGCCTTGGGCAATAGCCAGAACCTTCCGTCACTCCCTCCTGCATCAGTCTCACTAGACTGTGGTGATCTATCTGCTCTACTGAACTGTACACGCTCTCCCACAAGGCACTAACCACGTCTGCTTTATCTTTTATCAGTATTCCACCAAGTTGTGCAAAAACAGCCAGTCTGCCCGCCTGTTCATTTCCCAACACACATGCGAACCAGTCAAAAAAATCCAAACAATACTCCTCACCCGTGTCCTCCACAGTGAAGCATGCCACTCTGCACGAAGCATGCCTGTCCTGATCTTCCTCAGAATGCTTTCTCAGTCAGTTACAATCACGATGTTTGTGTCGTGTTCTCTAACCAGCGGAAAGCTGGAGTGACCGCCTCCACTCCTTTCTTAATTAAGCTGGATGTTGTGGGATCATATGCTAGGCTCTCCTGCACCGAACGTCGACTGATAACTTTTGCTAAGAAGCCCCACGCACTTCTTTTGCCTCTTGACACTGAACCGTCTGTGCAAATGATCAAATCCTTCAAGCGGGCATTATCTTGAAATAATTGCTGAATTTCCATCTCTGTGTCACCTGCTGGCCAGTCTCTTCATTCCCGGCTCAGTTTGATTATGACCCTACACAAGTCAGACTGTTCAGGTGGCACATTGACCCACTCCTTTCCTCGCCTAACGTTCTCAAGGATGCAAACCTGTCTGATTGCTCATGCACTATGAGTTGTGTCTTTCCTGTTTATATTTACAACAAGCATCTCTCCAATGGCCAAGATTGCCTGTCTAATTGTTTCTTTTTTGTTGTGTGATGCCGTTTCTAGCTTTAGGGCTGTACACGGCGAGGTCCTATTCTCTCCTACGTTCGTTAATTACGTTATCTAAATGTTGAATTTTGAATTAAGAATCGACATCACAGCACTCGGGACATTTCCAAAAGAGCTCCGTCCCCATCTTCAGCAGTAAGCGAAGAGTTACAATTCAGATGGTACCAGTAACAGTCTGATTTTATATCCGTTTCACCCCTCCCCCGAGTGTCGAGCGTCGGCCAGATCCCCTTGTAACTTCTCGCAGTGCTATTCTCCTCAGACCGTAAGGATCTATCTGTTCCTCGGCACTGTTCACTCTCTCCCAAAGGGCCCTCACAACATCCAGCTTGTCATGTATCAGTTCACCACCAAGTGGTGCAGAACTGGCCAGTCTATCTGCCTGCTCATTTCCCAACACACTGGCGTAACCTGGAGAAAATATCCAAATGATGCTAACTACCCGGGACCTCTGAAGTGATGCTTGCCACTCTGCACGGAGCATGCCTGTCTCCACCTTTCTCAGCATGCTCTGTGAGTCAGATACAATGACGACATGTGTGTACAGCTGATTCTCAAATCAACGGAATGTAGCAGTGACTACCTCCACCTCCATTCTAGACTTTGTGGTATCATATGCCAGGCTTTGTTGCGCCAAGCAACGTCCATTCTAGGACATCACACAAGCGATAAACACCCGATGACACAAAGTGTTAACATGTGGATGATGATCACCCGTGGAGAGGTCCCAGAAACCGCGTTCAGCCATTAGACCATTTTTATGTTCGGGCTTTATTGCGGCCCCTGATCTTTCTTTGAGCTTGTTAAAGAATATGAGTGTTGCGTACACATCTGATTATTGATATGCAGACTCTTAGTTCCTGTCCTCACAGGAAGATGCACTCCGATTTCGAACGATGTACCCCTGTTAATCGACTCTTACGACATACTTGTCGGGGGAGCAATCGGTCTATTCCTGTTTCCCCAACAATAAGCCCCTGGCACGGACGTGTAAGGGTGATAACTCACCACGAAACTTCTCGATTTGTTATTCCTGCATTACTGTCCTTGGAGTTAAAGATGGCGTCCGGCTCTAGCAGAGGTGAACGTTCTGTCTTCAGCTTTGGCAGTACAGCGATGTGAACTAGTTTCAACACAGTTAAACTTGCATGTAAGAGTGTCTAACTGCTATACTTTTTACACACGAATGCTTTTCTTGATTATTTGTCTACGCCAAATACAACTGTGGTAATTATTTTAGTTGCTAACTAGCTTTTCATATATCGAACTGGAACAAACCTTGGGTAAGTAAGTAAGTGTAAGGAATCGATTCTCCTTTGTGGTGAACTAAATCAGGGTATCTTCTAGCAACATATGTACTTTCTCTGTGCTTTTATCTTCAGTGTATTTGGGTTAACGAAACTAATAACAGGAATTTAGGTTATGTAGTTATTTCACGATATCCTGTTTAACCTGTCTATATTATAATTGTGATTATATATATATATATATATATATATATATATATATATATATATATATATATATATATATATATATATATATATAATATAGTCACATTTTCTAAAATCAATTTTTACTTTATGTCAGTTATAATCCGAGCTATCAAAGTTTTTTTAAGAAAAGATGAATAAAAAAGAACAAAATAGACGCCAGTTAAAAAATTGCTGCCCATAAATTATAAGTCTTTGAGGAGTGTTTAAAACTGCTTTAACCCTACCAGACCTAAGGCCCTGAACCTAACTGCCCCCTTTACCTCAGCTCCTGAGCATCAACACGAAAAAACCAACATGATATATAAAAATATTAGTTACATGCAAACAAGTGGTTAGAATAAGTTGAAACTTGGAGACTTTGTAGAAAATAGGTTTACCTTTCATCTAGTGCCAATATTACACCTGGCTATCCTCCGAAAAACGGTCCCAAAAATATACACTAACACGGCCTCAGTCACATCTAAATTGCGGACTTCCGGCGACTTAAATTGCGGACTTCCGGCGATTACTGCCACGGCCGAGAGTATTTCCTGCGCAGAGCGGAGCGGGGCTAAACTAGATGGCTGGGACTCACGAGCAGCAGCTACCGCATCTCCTGCAGCTTCCTTCATTTTATTTGCAATTATCATGTGACTGAGGCCCTGTTAGGGTATATTTTCGGCCTTGATAATTTGGGATCGTTATTTGAAGGATAGCCTTACACCTTTGCGTGCAATTCCACCCAGAAAGATTGGCCTTGTTTCACAAAGTGAGAACCATATGTTGCTGTTTGAGGGACACGCCCCCTTGTCTTACTGTCGATCTAGTTTTAAATCTATAGTTTTCAAGATTCTCCTCATCACTCGAGCTCACTCTGACTGTATCGCTTCAACTAGGAACATATGCTTCACAAAATTCTGACTCCTCAGAGTCTAGATCAACCACAGTATCGATCACCTGTTGGATTGTAAAAAGGCTAGACCTACTTCACTTTTCTGTCGAAGTGCCTGGCTCATCAGCCGCTTGTTTTATTGTGAATTTTCAGAATGTTTGCACGCCAAACCACACA